AAAATGGTGTGGGGAGGAAGTCACATAGAGATTGCAATTCACATGCATCATTAATTTGCCTACTGATATTTAAGATCTTGGCTTTGACCTTTCTGCTTATTGGGAACATAATTCTCTTTTCCAGTTTTGCTTGCTCAGTGTGTGTGTGTGTGTGTGTGTGTGTGAGAGAGAGAGAGAGAGAGAGAGAGAATGAGAGAGAGAGAGAGACTCTGTCTACAGTACATCTAACTGATGCAGAATTAAAGCAAGAATCAATGCTGCAACCACAGAGCTGTGGCTTTGCTAGTTCCTCAATTTAACATCTTAGCTTTTCCTTCCGCCAGAAACAACTGACCATATTTGAGAAATTTCTCAACTGGGCTGATGCAGCTGCGGCTCTGGAGTTGACCAAAATTTATTTTAACTAAATAGATCACTTTTAACCTCTTAAAATTAAACACCTTAAATTGTTTTACTTGAAACTACCTTTCATTTTTTTCCACAGTGTTGATGACCTGATACTTAGGCATTACCATATAACTATAAATATGTGTGCTTAGGTATGAGTACTAAGTGATTGAATTTATTTGAGTCTATTGCTCACAATAATTAGAGAATGTGAATGTCATCTGACTGAAAGTATTCTTTTTAAGATTAAGAACTTGTCAAAGCTTTTGAAGCTAGTGTTCATGTTGTGGGAATAAAGCTTATACTTTGCTTAGAAACCAAATACTTAATCCAATATGTAAAAGGGTTGAGTTAATACTGATGGTGATCATAGATAAGAGTCTATTTAATGTCAGTAATTATAAAACAGTTGTATTTATTTAGAATACCTTAATATTGGGGGCTAAACTCTCAGACTTAAATCAAAATAGGAACCATAGACTGCTGGCTACTTATTTCAGAAAGCCTTCTGGAATTGGGAAGTTAATAAGAAACTTATTCAATTATAGAAAATTAAACAAAATAGGTGAATATATTAGCTTGCCTTCAAGTATAAAGTTTATGATAATAATTACCTCATGGTTTTATTGGGAAAAATTAGCATTTCCATTTGGTTAAAACATTTTAGAAGATGCCCTATTTATTTATTTTCTTTTTTGGGTCACACCTGATGATGCACAAGGGTTACTCCTGGCTCTGAACTCAGCAGTCACTCCTGGCAGTGCTCAGGGGACCATATGGGATGCTGGGAATCGAACCCGGGTCGGCCACGTGCAAGGCAAACGCCCTACCCACTGTGCTATCGCTCCAGCCCCAAGATGCCCTATTTAAAGTGAACAGTATATTAATACAGCTATAATATTAAAGTGATACATTGAAACTCCTGTTCCACACACCATAACTCCTCACTCCCTCCATAACTGCATGCAGTATCTTACCAGATAGAAGATTAGGAAATCATTAGGAAGACTGATGTAATAACTGAAATTGACACCAAAACAACAGGAACAGTCTAGCTTAGAAGGAAGTTGAATCAGGAGACAACTGAGGGAAGCAACAGAGAAATGCCAGCCATGGAAACACAGTGGGTATAGCAGCTGCAGGGAGGTGCCCCAAGATGACCAGCATCTCGCCAGGAGGTCTTAGAACTTCATAATCAAACATGAACACTTGCATTTAAGAAGGGCACTGACATCTGACAAGCAGGGACATTAGAAACTCTTGGAGTTGGTGGACAGTGATTAGTTTAATGTTCATGGACACAGATTCTGATTATTCTTGTCGAATATGCTGATGGAATCAATTATTTCATTTCATAGTTCTGTTGAGTTGGGAAAGAGCAATGCGTTTCTCAACTGAAGCCAAATGGCCCTCCTGTGCAAGCAAAGGGGGCACATGTGAAAATCTCAAAAATGGAGAGGGGACCATCGTATAAGAGTAAGAGGCCAACTGGTAGAGTGTGGAGTGGGGGAATCACAGGAAGGAAACAAGTCAGAAGGAGGACATGGTCTGAAAAAGATTGAGAAGCAATGGCAAAAGTGCTCATTGAAAGACGGGTTAATGAAAGCAATGCTTTGCTGTAAACTATGCTACTAGTCATAAAGTCCAATGCCACTACCATTTTTGACTTTTCACAAACTCTCAAGGGATATTTTAGGGCCCCGGATGTGGCTCAGAGGGTGAGCACCTACTTTGCAGACATGTGGCCGTGTGGGGCAGGGACCAAAAGAAGGTATTTCCTGTAGTAGGGTTTAAAAAGTGGGCGGGCACTTCACAAATAAAGAAGAAAGCAATTAGAGAAACAATTGGAGCGAAAAGAAGTGAAACGGCATGGAACTTTCTAGTGGCTTGTGGTCATTTGTGCCCCAAATGTTTGTGGGGTGAGAGGGAACAGCTAGAGTAAAGGAAATGATGAGAGATAAGGCTGGGATATGGTTGAGACATCTTTGTGAAGGAACACAATTCTTTAGTGAAATTATACATAAACTGAAAGAAGAAATGTCATTTGATGGCAAACATAATATAGTGTACATGGATGATGATTTACAATGATGAATACCTAAAACCAACATAATATTACAAACTGATGTTGCTTCTATTAAAAAATTTAGATGAAAATAGTTCTGCATTCTTTTATTACATAAATCTCACAATTATGTCTGTTACTGGTTTAAAAAATTGAAGTTAAATATTAGACTGGAGATGTGGCTCAGTGGATCTTGCATGTGCCGGGTACTGAGATCCACCCCAGGCAACACACACACACACACACACACACACACACACACACACACACACACACAGAGCTTCTGAGTTTACTGCAGATTTCTTTCTTCTGTCTCTGTCCCTCTTAAAATTGTGAGTACCAAGATCTCTTCAAGTCAATTTTAGAAATGTAAGTCTTTAATTATCTATATCCGGAATACTATGTTGGCATGGACTGGAAATCCTGGCTCCACCCATGACCAGCTACCCTATGACCATGGGCCAGTTCTCTCAGTAATCTAAGACCACTCCTAAACTCTAAAGCAATGGAGAGTATTCAATGACTCAATGCTGCAACTCATGAGGAGAGGCTGCCCCTAATAAATACTGACACATATTAAATGCTATGATTTTGTTTCCTGTCCTCTCCAGTTTAAAGAGATACATTTGAATGAGACCTGACTTGTTGGCCTTCCACTTCAACCCAGGATTCAAAGGAAGACTTAAATGTGAAGTCAAAACACTAAAGTTATTTCCCAAAGTCCTGATTGTTTCGAAGTATAATTTATAAAGGTGATCACATCTTAAAGTGATATAGAAAAGCACCTCTAGGAATGCTGATGAAAGCCCCACCCCCCGCCCCCCAGGACAGCTCTATTGCTTTCAGTTATGCTGGTTGATAGAGTGAAGTCCAGACTATTTTTCCCTGGTGAGACTGGGCAGCTAGGATAAAGGGGAATAGATAGTTTATAACATATCAGATTGATGCTTTGACAACTGAAACTCGATTTCACCTAAGACATATTTTCTACTTTAATTTAATTTTCTCCTGTTTTTTTTATTCCTGTTCAAATGTAAGAAAAATAACATAGGTCATTCATATCCTGATTTATTTTATCCTCATTAATATTTTTACTTAGACCAGGAGCATTTTTAAAAAAACTTATAGTTATTTCTCCTCCTTAAGCCCACATTTTTCGCTAGTTACAAGCTATTTAGATGATGCATAAAATAATCAACTCCCAGAAATTCACCTTTATAGGTAACGCCATTCAAATGTGCCTGTGCAGATGTTTTTTCATTAAATAGAAACCAGTAACTTATATATAATTGAAACCAATTATATATAAAAGTAAAATCAAGATCACTTGATCACTTGACTTCCCGTTAATCGTCGATTTGCTAGAGCGGGCACCAGTAACGTCTCCATTTGTCCCTGTCGCGTGCTAGTGTAATATCAAGACGTCCTGAGTAAATAAGCTGCCTTTATTTAATGATTCCTTTATTTTTTTTTAACTTGCCCTGGGGAACAACTTGAGAAAGAGTTGCTATCCTTGGTTAAGAAGAATTTGGTGGTGCAGAGATGAGGTCTGGCTCAAACTAGAACCTATGTCAGGTGTGTGGAGGTCCTGGCTTCTATCCCCAGCACAAGCCCTGTCCCCAAACTGGTATTCTCTTTTAGCTAACAAAATAATCCATTTCCAGTCCAAATGGCTTGACGGTTTACCACTGCTCAGAGGTTTTCAGTATGCTCAATGATAATCACAAATACACCTGATACAACAAGGTCCAAAGCCTGATTCAACTAAAGTTTCTGAAATAAAAATCACCACCTGATAGGAATGAGTAAAGTAGAAATTTCATCCCTAATAATAGGCATCCATATGGTCAAACACCTAACAAATTGTTCAGACTATTGTACAGCAACAGGACCATTAACCAACAACACAAGTCACTTTTATTGTTAGAGAAATTACGGAGAAGAGGCAGCATCTAAGTCCCTGCGGTTCTCAGCACATCCATTAAAAACCCTTGGCGCCAAAATCACTCCAATACCCAGAGTCAACTCAGCGCCACATGACTCACAAGGCCAACACAGCCACTAGAGCCCCTCAGAGAAGTGTTTTAGAAAAAAACAAAACCACGGGAGCTAAAATTAAACTGATCCCATTAGACCAATGGGGAGAACAACTTAAATGATCAATAGGCACTTTCCTGAAAACATTTAAAAGTAGATAAAATCACAGTAAATAGCCTCCTGAAATAAAGTGATAGAAATAAATCGAGACAAGGTCTGGTGTCAAGGTGGGGTGAACCCTGGTTCCGTGGGGGTGGGGCATTGGGCTCATTGTGGATCTTAGAGAAGAACAAACCCCAACGGGCTGAGGGACCCGCCCTGGGATGCTCACTCAAGTTGGGTGAGTCTCTATCAGTCACACAGGGCAATCCGGGTCCCAGGTTTGGTGAGATGTGCTCCACGAGGACCCCACAAGGCCGCAACCATGGTCCACAGAAACAGTCCTGCCCCACAAGCAGTGTCGAAAACATGTAGAAATGATCAGAAAGACTTTTTAAAAAAAAGGTTTTACCTTGCAGAAAAGCTGTCTTCAGTGGCAGTGGTGTGACTCCAGAAACCCCTTCGTTCTGATCTGCAGAACAAGTGTGTCAACCCCAGGCTGTGGTCACAAGGCAGGAAGTGACTAGAGTGACAAATCACCAGCCAGGGAAGAAATAGATTTTGTCTTTATAAGGACATTTTACTTAACTTTTTTTTTTCATGTCCCCTCCCCGGCAGAAATCACCTGACGAAACAGGTCACACTGAAATTCAGAAGTCCCTTACCACTTCCTCTTCACACACATTACTTCTCTCTCCTTCCCTTTCTGTACTTGCTGGCCCTAGCACCAGGACACTGAAACCTGTCTGATCGCAGAGAGGAAGAACAGGTCGGCCAGCTAGTTGCCTGTACGCCTTTCTCTGGTTCCCATGGCAAAAAGTAAAGCCCGGTGCCTAAATACTTACCATAAAGACAAACAAATTATTCCATTTTCAGTGAGAGCCCAGGAAAAGGCGGCAGAACACCTGGAGCAAACAAGCAGAATTTCCTTGGGAAAGCTCCGCCCCAGCCGAAACCAAACCTCTCCTAAAAGTCCCCTAACAATGCTCTTCTCAGAGCAAACCAAACAAAGTGATCTCCTCTAAGGGTGCGGAGGGCCTGAAGAGGAAGGTCACTATATTATTTACTTATTCTTTTATTTATAGAACGCTATGTCTCAGGATCTTGTTAACCCAATTCAAGATTTCAATTATTTAGACGTTTTCTATAAAGAGCACTTGGAGATGACACAGGCAGTTGTGAGTGTTAAAGGGGTAGATCAGTTCCCTCCCACACACCAGATTTTATTTTGGAATGCAGACTTTACAGACCTGGCAAACAAAACAAAGATCAACACCTTTATTCTATGCCTAAAGCCCAGATGTGGAGGGTGAGAGCAAATTCCCACCCCTGTAAGTGCTCAAGTGCTCACAGTCCCTGGGGAGGCTGTGCAGCACTCTAGAAAGTTTAGGCTGCACATTGAGCACACTGTTCCCCAAATCATTGGGAACAGAGTGAGCCCAGCAGCTGGCCTGCTATTAAGAGGACATAGGTCTGGACTCCTGGTCTTCCTGACTGTGAGCTAAAATTCTTGCTACTCCCTTCACTTCTGTATTTTCCTAGGGCCCCAGATCCCTACCAGCGGGTAGCAGTGCTCAGACTGGCACGGGAGATGCTCTCCTCACCCCTAACCCTCCCTCTCTTTCCCTTTCCCTTCCTTTAAAATTTTTTAAATTTTGTACCTCCTGTGCTGTGCTCTAATCTTCGATAAGGGGGCAAGAAAGTGAAATGGAGCAGGGAAAGCCTCTTTAATAAATTGTGCTGGCAAAACTGGACGGCTACATGCAAAAAAGTGGGCTCAGATCTCTGCCTAACGCCATGCACAAAAGTAAGATCGAAATGGATTTATGACCTCAACATCAGACCGGAATCCATAACGTTTATTGAAGACAAAGTTGGCAAAACTCTCCATGATATTGAAGTTAATGGTATCTTCAAAGATGTCACGCCACTGGCCGAGCAAGTGAAAACAGAGATAGACAAATGGGACTATCTTAAACTAAGAAGCTTCTGCACCTCAAAAGAAACAGTGACCAAAATACAAAGACAGCCTACAGAATAGGAAAGAATATTCACCAAATACACATCCGACAAGGGGTTGATATCAAGGATATACAAGGTACTGGTTAAACTACACAAGAGGAAATCACCCAATCCCATCAAAAAATGGGGCAAGGAAATGAACAGAAACTTTCGCAAAGAAGAAATCCGAATGGCAAAAAGGCACATGAGAAAATGCTCTACATCACTAATCATCAGAGAGATGCAGATCAAAACAACAATGAGATATCATTTCACACCACAAAGACTGGCCCACATCTACAAAAGCAACAGGTGCTGGCGCGGATGTGGCAAGAAAGGGACCCTCCTTCACTGCTGGTGGGAATGCAGGCTGGTCCAACCCTTTTGGAAAACAGTATGGACGATTCTCAAAAAATTAGAATTTGATCTCCCATTTGACCCAGCTATAGCACTCCTGGGAATATATCCCAGAGAGGCAAAAATGTATAGTCGAAGTGACATCTGCAATTGTTTGTTCATTGCAGCACTCTTTAGAATAGCCAGAATCTGGAAAAAACCTGAGTGCCCGAGAACAGATGACTGGTTAAAGAAACTTTGGTACATTTACACAATGGAGTACTATGTAGCCGTTAGAAAAGGTGAAGTTATGAAATTTACATACAAGTGGTACTACATGGAAAGTATCATGTTAAGCGAAATGAGTCAGAAAGAGCGGGATAGACACAGAAAGATTGCATTCATCTGGGTAACATAAAGCAACAGGAATGGCTGAGATTAGTACCAGGAATTTTGCTCCATGACTTGAAGGCCAGCCACATGTGCTAGGTGAAAAGGAAGCTCAGATAGAGAAGAGAGCACCAAATAAAGGGTGCTGTGAAGACCCTCCCAGGGTGGGAGAGACATGCTAAAAGTAGTCTATAGACCAAACATGATTGCCACTCAATGTCTCTCGTGCAAAACACAGTACCCAAAAGAATAGAGAGAGAACAAGGGGGAATGCCCTGCTACAGTGGCAGGGTGGGACGGGGGGGGGGGATGGGGGGTGGGAGGGATGCTAGGACCCGTGGTTGGGGAGGATGGGCACTGGTGGAGGGATGGGTACTTGATCATTGTATAACTGAAACCCAAGCACAAAAATTTATAAGTCTATAACTGTACCTCATGGTGTTTCACTAATAAAAAAAAGATAAAAAATAAATAAATAAACTCATACATTTTCATGATATCAAAAAAAAAAAAAAAGGCCAGGGAGCTCCTTCCAGTGATACTTGGCTAACAGGGTTGGACCATTCAATGCCTGGCAATGTAGGGTTGCTCGTAGCCAGCAGGGCTGGTGGCCACCGGGGCCATCCCAATGATACTAGAGGGCACTAGAGATACCCTGGGCACTGTTCAGGGGAGTTGGGTGGTGCTGGGGATTGAACTCAGGGCCTCACACAGACAAGAAAATGTTCCAAGCCTTTGAACTGTCTTGCTGGACTTGGATAGTTGCTGGATACTTTCTTCGCTCCTTCGGTTTCTCCCCTAGAAAGTGCTGCCTGAGAGGCCCAGTGTTAAACCAAACTGCTTGGTCTATCTACTCTTCAGATGGTGGTCTGGCAACTTCTTGACCCAGACTCCACAGGGGCGTTCTTGAGAAACGTGACCTTGGATCCTAGCACCAAACTACCTCTGGTTGACCAAGTATCACTAGGAGGGTCCCCAAACTCTAAGATCTTGGGATCCTCCTTTAATCAAAATAAAGTTTGTTTTTTTTAAAGGTATGATGGCTTAGTAGGCAAGCATCATCCCTAATTCCCATAAATTAGGCCTTAAGTTCGATCCCCAGCACTACACACCCACAAAATGTTGAAGACGTATTCACTGTTCTCAAGCAGTGCAGTCTTTTGTAGGGGAAAGATCAAGTATGTAGTTACATGAGAGCTGCCAGAAAGGGGAGGTAAAGGCAGGGTAATGATGAGGCAGGGGCAGATGTGAGCAGGGGTGACGTGTTTGGATGGAAACCTGCCGAATGAGGTCTCGCAGTTAAAAGGACTTAGGATTCCAGACAAAGTCTATATTGCAGAAGATAAAAGCCACTGAGCTGTGCAGCCACCCACTTAGAGACGTCCTCTTCTCTGGCACCGCATCAAGCCCACAGGAGCCACCTACCACCACCACCAGTGCCCCGCATCTCTTTATCTGCCTCTCCTGGCATGAGTCTGTCGGAAGGTGGGCATTTTGGTCTTAAACCAAGACTTGCTCAGAGAGGAGGATTTTATCTCTCCATGCTTAGAATGACTTGTACATTGTGATAACAGGCATAACACCATCTTCGGGTCCTTCTATTATTGTTATTTCCTCTATAGGCCAAGTACCCCTGCTGGCTGGCACCCTCGTGGCCTCTCCTATTCCCCCTCCTGATGACCACATGCCTCCCCTGCTACCTGCCTCACCCACATCACAAGGATCTAGGTTTTGCTTTCCTATACCCACACCCCTCTCCCCTGGTCAATCCTCCCCCATGGCTGCTTCAAAGTTCCACAGCCCAATCTCTTAGAGCACATCAGCTGTGTCTCTCATGCAAATAAAATCTTGGACCCGAGGGCACAAAACTACCTGACCTGGCTCAAGTAGAACAAGGAGACCTTGGTAAATGGGATTGGGCAAAAAGTTAATAGCCCTTTCCCAGGAATTGCTTTGCTGAGGCGACGGATATGTTAAAACAAAATATTGTGCAGGGGCTGTGGTTGTGGTTTGGGAGAGACCACTCTGGCACTCTCATGTCCTTGAGTGCAATACCAGGCACCACATGGTAACTGACCCTGTGGAGCCCCATCCTCCTAACAGCAAGGGAAGAAAAGGAGAGAGATGAATTTGCAAAAGAACAACAAGCAGAAACTATCATATACGTCCCTTTGGTCTTCACTAGCCATGTGCCTCCAGGGCAAACAGCAGAGTTTAAGACCATTTACATGGAAGAAATGCACAGAAAACTCCTCATCCTCCAGGTCACATGTCCTGATGATGACCTTAAGGCTCCATTCTGTTTACTCCAGGACCTACATCCAGTTTTTCAAGAAACAGGTAAAGCTTACCCAGTCCTTCCTTCTACCAGTATCAATACTCTCTAGAACAAAGGAAAAGCGAGGTGGATCGACCTGGGCATTGCTCCTACCTTCCCTGTACTCCAGGTGGCAAGAGAAAGTCTTTCTCTTCTTACAAAAGCTGGTATGACAACATTTGATTTTCTGGCACATGGAGCAGTAGGCTGGATTGTGAAGTTTGCCTATGGAAACACAACTTCTGGAAACTATAAACATAAGTCATTTGCCTTCAAATTGCTTCTCAGAAGTGCTTTAATATTAAATCACTTTTATGAAATCCTGAGAGTAAGGCATTTTAACCCATATATGAGCTCTTTTCTGAATGCATCAAATTACTCATCTTAATATTAAAGATATCACAGACTCCAAGAATTAGACAATTATTCCAAATTATCTCCTTTTCCTGAGATTC